AAAAAAAAAAAAAAAAAAAACAATGTACTTTCAGCTGCAAGCAAAATATTGAGGACACTCCAGGTACAAAATGAGAAATGCAGCTGAGAGTTATCTTCATTGTAAAGCTTACATCCACTCCATGGATGAAAACAAAAACCACCATCTTAATTTACCATTCAAACCTTCCCATCTACCTCCCCAACAATGCCCTCGCACGCAGACCAAAGTAACCAATATCCAAACCAATATTCAAATTAGCCAACCCAAACAGCCTGCTGGGCCCGAGCCCATTTTCTAAGAGCGACCCAAACATGGTCGATCTGATCATGCTCTGCACGTCACTAGTGACCCTCTCATTCTCCAACTCCTTCCATTTCTCGGCCTGCGCAGGGTCCACTTTCCGGGGTCGCCCCAGAGGGTGCTCTGACTTCACGTGCCTCTTCATCTGCTTATAAGTCCCGGAAAACGAGCAATCGTGATGCGCACAGTTTCGTTTCCTTGAATTGAGGAATTTGCGGTCAGGTTTGACTACGGTCCACCCTTTGACCTGTCCGCGGCAGAGAGGGCACGGGAGCTCTTCTCGTTCGTCGTCATCATCATCATCATCATCATTGGCGTAGGCTTTCGTGTATTGTTCGAGGCAGTTGGAAAACCGGTGGCTTGTAGCGCACATGTAGGGCCGGCACCCGTTTTTGTGAGACGAGCAGAGTAAGACGACCGCCTTGTGGGGTGCCTCCAGGCAGACGGAGCAAACGGCGTTTTCCCATTCTTTGTTTTCCAATGGCTTGCAGACCTTCTTGCACTTGTTTGATGATTTTTTCACCGACAGGGAGTTAGTTCTTTGCTGTCTCTGCACCTTGTTGGATTTTGCCATTTGTTTGATAGGCAAAAAAAAAACTAACTGCACCAATCGAAAAAATAAATAAATAAACAATCGAACCACAAGGGGTAAACAAGAACAAAGGTGCAACCATCGGAATAAGTTTACGGAAAAGGCAATGATCCCGTCACGGATTGATTCCGTGAGGGTTTTTAGCCATTAGATTAACATGTAACTTCCATGTATGTACAATAACCGTATATCTAATGGCTAAAAATCCTCACGGAATCATTCCGTGACGGGATTGTAGCATTTTCCATAAGTTTACTATCACATTTCACTCCACAATTTAGTTACAGAACAAAATATATTAGTGCTTCTCTTTGCCGAATTCGATAGATGTGTGTGCGGGCTCGGCAAGAACATAGCATCAAAATTCAATCATCAACCAGAAAAACAAAGCATTCTATTCACAAACGCCTCGCTGTTCAGACAAATCTTACCAGAATATAGAAGACAACAACATAATTCCGGGAAAACCCTTTACACTACATGAAGCCCTCATCTTCATTTACAAAAGTGAAGATCTTCGGTGGGTAACAAATAAAGGGGAAAACAGAACAAGCCCTCATCTTTATTTACATTTCTTTTCTAAAAACAAGAATCTAAAGGGCTAATCGATTCTAAACAATAAACCCATTATCATATCCATAAAGCAATTAAAAGAACCTACAGTATACGAGAGATTTGAAATCGAGGTTACCTGAAAATGAAGAAGTGTGAAGTTTCGATATATGCAAATCGTGAAAAAATTAAACGGGAGCAGCCCAATTTGATGAGGTTTTTTCCTGGGGTTTCGGTTTTCTCTTTCAGAATTATAGTCGAGCATGAGAGAGTAGTGTTGTATTTATGCTTTGGAGGAATTTATTCGGGAACGAAAAATTTATGGTGTGATAAACCAACGGGATTGACTCAAATGGTAGGCAGTTTGATGTCGCTTAAGTAAAATTTCGAATTTGAACCCTCGTAGATGCAGAAAACTTTTGTTGGGAGACTCACGCCGCTTAAGCAAGGTCTCGAGTTGAGTCCTTGTGGATGCAGAAAATCCTTGTTGGGAAACTCGCTCACCACTGCCAGGTGTGCAACACGGGTCGACCAACGGATTAGTTGAGGAATAATTCCAGATACCGTAACTAACTAAAAAAAAAATCTAATAAAAATTAACTTTAGTCATTTTATTTCCGATATTTAGACACAGTGGAAGGGAATCCCATGTGCCGAGAATGCGATTGCATTATAAGGTCGCAATTGAACAAATATTACTAGTACAATACCCGTGTATTACACTGGTGTTGACTTAAAAAAATAAAAGTTATTGCTAAAATAAATTTTTTATTTAAAATTTTTTATGGACTAATTGATGAAAACAAATGAGGATTAGACAATGCAGAAAGTGGTTTATAAATCATAATTTATGAAAGAAATGTGAGAGAGAATTATAATATGGTAAGATTGCTTGTTGTCAAAACTAAGAAGAAAATGATACTCAGAGAAAAAAATCACAAGATTAAATATACACTTACCAAGTTTGAAAAAAATCATGTATGTCTAATGTCAAGTCTAACTCCATAGCAAAAATGAATATATAAACAACATTCTGAAGCATTGATTTTTGTCATTTCAGCATCCGGAGCGTAAGTCTGTCACTTACGCTCAACATTTTTTAATTGATATATAGGAATGGATTTTATTGATATGTAGGAAGGGATTGTATTAAAAACTCAAAATCCTCTCAAATCTAACTCCAACTTGTTTAAAACTAACTATGATTAAGCAAAACAACCAATCAAAACCAAAATTTTCAATCACAATTATATAAGCAATCACACCCTTACCGACCTGAATTTTTTACGGATTTGCAACTTAAACTTTCAATTTTGAAACATTGCAACCTCAATTAAATGTAATTGGCAATTACCAACCTCGAACTAGCGGTGCAAAGTGAAACTGGTCCAAAAACTCCTCCAAAGTCGCAGACAAGTTTGATAAGGGTAAATTTGTATCTTACCTGATATAATGGCAATATATTGAAATCAAAATAGAATTCCTCCCCAATTTCTTCAATCAATCTTCATCACTAAACCCTTCATTCGACACTTTTGAAAAAAAAAATTAGCGAAATGGTTTAGAAAATTCGTTAACGATGCATTGTTATTCCAACTGATAGATTGTCCCAAATTACAGTAAGTTCGCTTCACTTAATCTACTATAGTTGGTAGTATGCATGTGTAGTGTATATTCATCCCTGAGTTTCTTCGTACCTTTTCAAAATTAGGTTGAGGTCTATGAATTTAGAAACAACAAATTTCATGATTTTTTAGGACAATTTCTTAATTCAAAATTTTCTTTTTTTCTTTTTTCTTCCTGATTTTTTTTTTTATTATTATTTTTTTTTT